TATTTATTTTTTATTTATTTAATAGAAGTATGTATAAAAAAGAAAGAAAAAAAAGATATAAGGTACGAAAAAAAACTAAAAGAAAAATAAGAGATGTTAGATCTCGAATCTCGATCGAGGTATTCTCGAAATAGAACCTCTCCCCTGTGCGCCTCTTACGGCGTACTCCGAAAATAATTTAATTTCAAATAATAAACGTGTAACCGAAGAGACAACAACGGAATTACGTAGCCGCACATAACGTCAGTGTAGTGTCGTCCTTGTGTTTTGAGTTTTTGGACAGCGGAATAAATGTTTATTAATGCTATATGGATTCTGTTATTTTTCGTAAATTGTCCTGGTGACAGGATGCGTCCATCAACAACGTAAAACAACATTTACCGCAGCTGCGGTCCTACTTACTCACCAGTCACCAAAGGCACCAATACTACCCGTCCTCTGGTGCACAAGTTGGGACACATCTTGGTCACTTTTTATTTTGTTTATTTAAAGACTCGTAAGGATCGAGAAATTTAATCGGATTATCTACTCACCACAGTTTGGACTTGTAACGATTGTTGTTTCACAGAGTCTAAGTTTTATGTGTTGATTTTTTTTTTTGCTGGAAAAAGCAGTCGTTCTTCAAAGTGTGTAAAAATGTTTTTTGAGGTAAAACTCTTACTTACTATAATGTCAATGTTACACCGTGTTAAGCTAACTTTGATGAAGACATCACATATCAACTTTTTAACAACCAATTTAAATATTGATTTTTATTCTTAATTGTTATTAGATTACGGTAACGCCTGAAGCAAAGAAGATACGAGAACCCATTAGCCAAAAGACTACAGAAAGTAACAATTACAGTTTGTTACTAGCGCCTTTTCAACCTTCAACTAAAATTAAGTTTGATGCTCGGATCAACACTTCCGTCGAATGCAGCTTAACTTTGAAAAATTCCAATGATCGTACACTCACTGTAAGTATTATTACATTGTTATTTTACGTTCTAGGAGAAAAACTTTGACATCAAAGAAAATGTGTTTTCCATCGCACAGGTGTCTCTCACGAAACTTCCACCAGAAGAACGATGTGTAAGTTTTAGTGAGACAAATTGGACTATTGAGGGGCGTAGTGACGTTACTTTGAATATATCCTGGAAACCTAAAGAAGCAGGCAGCTGGAGAGATGTTTTATATTTGGTAGACAGACAAAATAAGTACGAAATACATCTCAATTTAACTTGTACAGATCCTCGCAAAAAAGCACCTAAACGGGATGGAAGACCTATGAGACAACATAATCCATATGCACGTCCAAACGCTATTGATTCAAAGAAACAGATTAAATCTAAAAGTACAGTTCGAGCTGAACTCAAGAGAACTAGACCAATAGTTAATAAGATAGCAGATAAGGAAAATATTTCCCATAATGTCAACACAAATTGGATGTTGGATCAAGCTCGGTTAAAAAAGCAGAAAACAGAGCTAACACCAAAAGCACCATTAGATTTCTCTGAATTTCTGGACTCATCTACTTTTAAGTTTACTCCTGTGAAATCAAATTTAACAAATTTTGGATCTAGTGCAGCGCAAGAAGCTAATGTATTCACTCCTAATCATGGTAAGTTAAGCTCGAGCTTGTGCATAAGAAAAGAAACTTCATTGTAAATTACTCTGAAAATTTTTTTGTATATTTTAGATTTTACGAAAGTTGGTAAGACTTGGACCAAGGCACAAGAAATGTTAGACGATAAAATTAAAGTTACAAATATAAGAAAAGAGACATATGTGACAGTACCCAGATATTTAAATTTAGAAGACTTTCAAAATGATAATCGTAATGGCAAAAGCGATGATTCATTTTCACCTAAATCAGAATTTAAAAAACCTCAGTCGGAAATTTCTAAGCTGTTTGATGATATTAAACTAACTCCTCTTAAACCTTCGATTACATTCAATGACGAAAAAATAATTTTTTCGCCAAATCATTGTTCTACAGCAACTAAAGTACATAAGAAATCGTTGCCGGAATACGTTCCAAACATTCAAGTGAACAAAAACATAACGTTTAATATTGATGATTGTGATGGAAACATTACTTATCAGTTGCCCACTTCTCCAACTAAAAATTACCTCAAGCCCACGTGTCTTGCTAAATCTTTCGGTACTAATATGGATATCGAATTTTCAACTCCTCTTCAAATAAAAAATTCCAATAAAATAAATGAAACCACGAGATTAAGTATTAATTTTTCAAAAAGCCAAATTGATTTTGGTAGTGCCAAGGATTGTTTGGAAGCAGACTTATGGGTGAAGTCAAGAAATGATTCGCTGTCGCCAGTCAAAAGTTTAATGCATTCAACTTTGGATAGTATAACAGAAGAGGATATTAACGATAATGGACAAAATCACGAACAATTAAAACCAGAAAAAGCAGTTTTCATTGAAATTTCTCCCCCAAAATGTACAAAGAGAAAATCGCCAATGAAAAGATTATCTTCTGCAAAGAAAAATAAACTTTTAAAAGAAAAGAATATCTTTGATGCAGTCAAGTCAAAGAAGAAACTGATTACTGAAGCCATTAAAAGTAAGTCATTTGATTACCATCCTCACAAATTATTGATAAAAAATTAAATTTACATCGTTTTTATTTATTAGAAAACAAAAGTATGGATATACCTGGCGTACGGATATCGAAGCTTAATTTATCAGAGTTACATGTAGATAAACATAAAAATGTAACATTCAAAAAGCAGCCAAAAGAAGTTGCCGTGAAGTATCACAATCCTAATGACTTTTTATCTGTGTTTTGTAATCCAGACCCATTTGGTCCTAATATGACTAGTGATCCATTTCTTGCCAAGTACTTGATAACTCACTATTTAAAATATTTCTTCTTAATTGTATAATAAAAAATTAATTTTTTTTTTTTTAAATAGCTCGTGTTACTATGATGACAGATGGGTATTCATGCAAGAAGTAGAATTTAAAAAGTGGTTCAACATGATATTGTCACCTCCTGAGCAATTAACAACTGACATTGACTCAGCAATAATAGATATCGGCAAGGTTTGGCAGTCATGTAGAGCAAAGGATGATGTTGCTTTAGCGGAAACCAAGGAGTCAGTATCTGCCAGATACCACACCAACATGAGATTGAATGCTTTGCGCAAGGCTGCATGCACCATGTATCGTAGTGTGGACGTAATCAATGTCCTCTCAAAACTTACTATTGCTCTTGAAAAAGAGATTCTAACTGTGAGAATTGACAAAGATCCACATCGTGATATTGGTATGTGTTTTAATACATCATTCTCAAGTATTTAGTTAATGTTTAGCTAATAATATTATTCTAATTTTTAATAGGTTTGCAAAAAATCATCCTTGAGTTATTTATCAGTTATAATCCTCTTTGGTTGAGAATAGGTCTAGAAACAGTTTACGGAGAAACAATTCCTCTTCAATCAAATAACGACATGATAGGTCTTTCGAGATTTCTTCTAAATCGATTTTTCTCTGATCCTTTCATCGTCAAGCAACACTCTTCTCAGGCACATCCTACCATCAGATTAAAATCTTTTCAAGCTGTGATGAACAAATTTGTACTCAAGAAATTTTTGTTCTTAGTTTATTTCTTGGATCATGCCAAAAAGAATAAACTCATAGGTCACGATCCGTGTTTATTCCACAAAAAAGCACCGTTCAAAGACAGCAGATCGATTTTGTTAACTTTTTCTCGGGAACTTCTCAGTGGGATCGGTGACATAACAAAAATCTTGCGTAATTACAATTACGTGGTTTCATATAAGCAAAATGTCTTGGACGAGTACGATTATGCCGTAAAGACTTTAAGCACAGACTTAAGGGATGGGGTGAGACTCTGTAGAGTCGTCGAATTGATGACTGGACAGAAAAACCTGACAAGCCAGTGCAGAGTACCAGCTATATCACGCCTGCAGAAAGTTCACAATGTCAAGGTTGCCCTTACCACGATTAAAGAGGCTGGCTACTCTATTGCGGGAGACATCGATGCTAACAGTATCGCCGATGGCCACAGAGAAAAAACTTTGTCCCTCCTCTGGCAACTGATTTACAAGTTTCAAGCCATTAGGTATGAAAAGGCTGCAAAAACGATACAAAGTTGGTGGAAATCGAAGCTATGGTATGTCTACATGAAGAAAATGGTGAAGAAAAGGAAGTACGATGCAGCTTCAGTCATTCAACGATCCTGGAAGTGTCTCGTAGCCAAGAGAAAATTACGCTCACTCAAAGAAGAATACGTACGCGAATTGCAAAGGAAAAACAAAGCCGCCAGTAAAATACAAATGTATTGGAGGTTGAAGAAGGAGGCCGAGAAACAGCAAAAGCAGTACCAACGCATAAAACTGTCCGCGGTGAAGATTCAAAAGTGGTGGACCAGAATACGCACGACAGAGCCCTACATCAAGGAGTTTAGAAAACAGCGTCAACTCGTCGTAAAATTGCAACGACGCTGGCGTGCCAAGCAGATCATGAAGCCCGAGAGAAATCTTTTTTTCCAACTGAAGTTGAGCGCCATTAAAATCCAGAGACGCTGGAGAGCTCGTTGCCTCGGTGAACAGGCGGTCAAAGATTATCAGAAAAAAAGAAACGCGATCATTTTCGTGCAAAGAAAGTGGCGCGCAACGTTGTTGATGAAAAAAGAACGCCAAGTTTTCTTGAAAAAACTACGGGCGATTCGATGCGTTCAAGAACGGTGGAGGCAATATTTGATTGCAAAGAGGGACCGAAATAACTTTATCGCCATAAAAAACGCCGTCCGAACGATTGAAAAAGCTTGGATCGCCAGACACACCGAAACTGAAGAAAGAAAATGCTTCCTCTTGCAAAAGAGTAGTACCACTGTGATTCAGAGATCGTGGAGAAACTATCGAGCCACCAAAGAAGATGTTTTAAGTTATAAAAGTAAGAAACAGGCCTGCATTAAAATACAATCTTGGTGGCGATGCGTTTCAGCATCAAAGGAGTACAGGAAGAAGCGCTCGAGCTGCGTAAAAATTCAGAGGTGGTACAGAAGTATTACTCTGGGCAGGGTGGAAAGAATCCGGTACCTGGCTGTCAAAAATTCTGCTGTTGCAGTGCAGAAGAATTGGAAAATGATTTTGACCAGAAGAGATTACAGGAGCAAAAAGTCTGCTGTATTAAAAATCGAATCATGGTATGAAAATCTTATCACTTCGCGAAGAGTGAGAAAACAGTACCTAAAAACAAAGGCAGCAGTTAAAACGATCGAAACCTGTTGGCTCAGACTGAAACACGCAACGCAAACTAGATCTCAATACTTAAAATTGAAGGAGACAGCTATCACCGTTCAGCGGAGATGGAGAGCTCAGATAATTATGAAGGAAAATCGCCAAAGGTATCTGAAGATGAAGCAATCTGCAGTGAAAATTCAATCTTGGCGGAGAATGTCTGTGGCACAGAAACGCTATCGTGAAATGAAGACTGCAGTGAAGACTATCAAAGTTTGGCGTCAACGGTTGGTAAAAACGCGAGAAGTCAGAGCTCAATATTTGAAAATGAAGGCAACAGCCATTGTCGTTCAACAAAGATGGAGAGCTCAAATAGCTATGAAGGAAAATCGCCAAAGGTATCTGAAGATGAAGCAATCCGCAGTGAAAATTCAATCTTGGCAGAGAATGTCTGTGGCACAGAAACGCTATCGTGAAATGAAGACTGCAGTGAAGACTATCGAAGTTTGGCGTCAACGGTTGGTAAAAACGCGAGAAGTCAGAGCTCGATATTTAAAAATGAAGGCAACAGCCATTGTCCTTCAACAAAAATGGAGAGCTCAAATAGCTATGAAGGAAAATCGCCAACGGTATCTGAAAATAAAGCAATCTGCTGTAAAAGTTCAGTCTTGGTGGCGAATGATTTCAGAAAAGCAGCGTTACAAGGAGCTGGTCAGAAGAAAGAATGCAGCTGTTGTCTTTCAGCGCAGATGGAGAGCGTTGAAATGCGGAAGACAGACGCGGAAAATTTTCGTAAAACAAAGGTCCTCTATAATCTTCGTGCAGAGAAAGTGGCGAGCGATTATTACCGCCAGAGCAGAGAGAAGGAAATTCTTGTCAAAGAGACAGTCAGTTGTTGTTATACAAAAGCACTGGAGGCGGTTTACCGCAGAGAGAGACTTCAAGAGGATCAAAAATGCAGTTTCGATGATAGAAAACTGGAGAAGGTGTTGTTTACAGGGAAGACAAGCTCGCGCAGAGTTCCTCAAACTAAAAATGACTGTTATGACGCTACAGCGATTTCTGAGGACGAAGAAACAAGTCAAAGAGTATAAAAGACAACGGAATGCTGTGATAAAAGTCCAAAACTTTTGGAAATCGATACTAAAAATGAGGGAATGTAAGAGAGAGTACGAGAAGCAAAAAATGGCATGTATTGTGATACAGAGATGTTATCGCGCAAGAAATCTTGCGATAAAAGCAAGGAAAGATTATCAACGTCAACTTTTAGCAATAGTTACTGTCCAGAGATGGTGGAAAAACATTTTGCGTTTGAGAATGTTGAAGGTCCTACGAGAAAAGCAAAAGTTAGCGGTTATTTTGATAGAAAAGTGGTGGCTTTACGTGCTTGAACAGCGACGGATTCGCGAAATTGAAAAAGCGAGGCTCTTACGTTGGCACAATGCGTGTGTCAAAATTCAAGCTGTTTGGAGAGGATACAAAGTTCGTCAAGCTGCCAGCAAGAAATTGTCGATATTACGTGAAAGAGCAAGAAGCGCAGCCAAGGCTGCTGTTCCATCTGCCACTCTGGCCTCGCGATTGCAAGAAAACATTGAAATTTTCAAATTAGCTTCCAACATAGGGCAACTGTCAGTTTGCTTATCTTCTTTGGGTAATTTTTTTCCCCTTTTTTAATCGGTATGAAAATTAAAGTACTTTAATACATTTTTTTTATTAACGTTGTATTCATGTTTTAGATGTTATTACTCAGTTATCACCAAACGCATGTATAAATGTTTGTAAGCTCAAGTTGGTATCCAGATTGTACGGAATATTGAATCAAGCAAACAGATCTATACCTTGGCTAGATATATGCTTGAAAGATATAAGCATTTTATTGACTTTAGCCAAATTCGGCCCAACGAAGCTGTATGTTCTAGAAGTGAGTAATATACAGTTATATCGATAATTTTATCAATGTACAAACATTACCAAAACATTATTTTTTCATAGGAAGGAAATGTTGAGGTTCTAGCGAGATTACTAAATATTTCATCTGATAAAAAAGAAGATCTATTTTTACATACTGCAACGTTAATCTGGGTTTTGACAGAAGATGAAGACTATGCTGAGGTAAAGTGATACGAAATTCTCGTAAAATATATATATATATATTTTTTTCCTAAAGTTGAACCCAGAAAATAAATATAATACATTATCGATTTTAGGCTGTAAAACAATGTTCCCGAACAAAATATTTATTGAGCTCTCTTTACATGTCGATTAATAAAAAAATAACCAAAAGTACATTGAACATGTCGAAATGCAAAGGAGAAAATTCCATGCCGAGTCTTAAACCTAATTGGGGATTGAATCACAAGCGTCCGCGGGTCTTTGGTAATGTTTCTCAAGCCATTACGTCGATTGCATTACGTTTAAATATTTTAAACGTTTTCCCTCAAACTAATGAAATACATCGTTCATTTAATTTTAGTATGTAAACGTATTTTTAAATAACTGATAAAAAGAAATTAATAACTAACAATTCTTATTTTTTTAATGTTGAACTTTTTTATGAAGTTGACACGAAATTTTGTTACATTAATCAAATGTGTACTGCAAGTGGTAGTTTGCATGTGTTTTTGTTTATAAATGATTAATAAATAATAGTTTTGAAAATATTTTCTGTCTACGATTTTAAATAATAATTTTATTGCAATAAATATTAACAGTCATATACATGTACATATGATTATAATTTTAGGATAAAAAGAAGCAGAACTTATCTATGTAAAAATAACGCACTTTACTGCATTTTAAAGATATTCTAGTGTAGAGCAGCTATTTTTCTAATTTTAGCAAAATGTCTTTCACTATATCATCGCCACCATTGGGATATTTCATTCTTAAAATTACAGCCAATAAGCGAAAGAATATAGTACAATTAAAAGTATTTCAATAAAAATACAACAATTGCATGATTACGTGGTGTAACAGAGTAGGCTCGTAAAATGCGTAGGCACGTTATATTTTTTTCTGCAATAAATAATTTTAAAAACAACAATCAAGAATATTTGAGAAAAAAAAATTTAGGCTATTTCCTTGTACCTGCGGTAATGAAATCTCGAAATTAAATTATCGATGGAAGATGGCAGAGTATTAAAACGTCGAAAAGGCTAAATATTATAATAATCGTGAATGCAAATTTTATTTACACAACTACTGAAAAACAGTGTAAAAAAAGTACCAACTTAATTTTCATGTACAGGCTTAAGCTCTTTGATCTGCTTGATTAGATAAGCTTTTTCGTCATTAAATTGTTCGTCTTCTGAACGATCTGTGTGGAAGCGTGTAAGGAACTCTATTAATTTTTCTTGATTTCGTAGTAAAATATCTAGAATGGGCTTAGGTTTATTTGGGTTTGCCACGAACACCTGTAATAGTTCAAAAACAACTTGAGTATTTTTATTAATCGTTTCAGTGTCTAAAATATACATTTACCTTGAAAACGTGGAAGGCCTCAAACTGTATGTTGCGAGACTTTTCTTTCAGCATGTTCATCATTAATTTTAAATTGTCTGGGTTTGAGATATATCTTGTCATGACCTACAAAAAGTATAGCAAGTTTGGTAAATTTCAAACGACATTGACGAGTGGATTGATCTATATTTACGACTTACAGTAAAATTGTGTCGGTCTAGCAAAAGTTCTCCTAATAATTTTAAACTTTGTCTACGTGTGACATAATTTTCTGAATTTAGTAACCTCTGATAGTGAGAGAAAACTTTATCATAATTGACTTCCAAAAATTCAGCACTTAAAATTTTATGCCTAGTTAGAAGTTCCTATAAAAAAANTACTCAAAATATCTCTATTATTATCTGCTCAAATTATTTTATAAACAGACAACGAAAGATTGAGTGGATTTTTTCGAATGTCTTTTAAAAATACTCTATTTGCTATTCTTTTTTATCTATCAATATTATTATTCGAATGAGCAGTTGTATTAATATTTCGAATGAGTAGTTGTAAATGAAATGTGACAAGATTCTTAGACAAAACGAAATGATGTGTAGAGTTTTCTCCATTTTAGTTTTACGTTAGAATACTAGTGGATGATCATTTTAATGCATTTTTTAGTAGATCCACAAGCGGATACTCCAATGACATAAGAAAAAAGATATCGAGTATGCGTAAACGCGTTCATGCAGATAAATCCATACGAGCTAAACAATCGCCAGTTTTGCTGCATGTTTGCAATCCCCTCACTTTTTGTACTTTCTCCCCAGCTAACTGTGATGTATATCCTCAACTTTAGGAAAGCTCTTTAGCTACAGTACTATTAATTTTTCATGTTTTTAACGCACCTAGTAATGTTGCACGCGCTTTACATATTTTATTTTCTAAATCAATTTGATTTACATTTACGAATATTTTTATACTTCGCTATTCAATTTTAAAGAGCAACCGAAGAAACTAATTTTCCTACATTTTCTGTCGTGTCAAAAGTACCAAATAATTAATTTTTTTGCTGTCTATTGTTTGGATCCTTTCTCCAAACTAACAATTGTATCGACAGTTTTTTATCCTTAGATACTATCAAAGTCACGTGACATTGAATCTTTTAACGTAGGATATCAAATACGTTTAAGTATTCAAATGCAACTGCTTTTGAATCTGTAACACAAGAATATTGTGATCGATCCTCTTCAACTTAACAGTTTAAACTCTTTTATTAGGTTGCATATTCTTGTGGTATGCCAATATAATAAAGCATACCGTGCATTACAGCACAATTATTTTACCATTTAGTGAGAAAGTAAATTTGAGGGCGGAAAAACATGTGATTTATGGAATTTCCGTTGGGGTTTATCAGAACAAACGAAGTTTTTTATTAATATGTATAACTTTCTACAATAACATGAAACCATTGAGTAAATTACCTTAAACGTAGAAAAGGCATCTGAAGCTATATCAAACGTGGAAACTTCGACATATCTAAAGAAATTGTAAAAATCGTCTGAATAAATCATGATTTTCGCTAATGCTTCGTACCGCGCACATTCTCGTAACATTGTACCACAGTTTAATGCAATATCTTGATGTTCATATCTGAAACAAAGGTTTTATTATTCAACTATTATGCCAAGTATCACTAAACTACTGATTTATAAATTCGTTTCATACTACACACCCTGACATTAGAGTAAACAAAATTTCTGGCTTAGTACAAATATATTCTACTGTAGGAGACCTTGTACCTATTTGTCTTCTTAAAATATTATTGAATACTTGAGCAACATCTTTTTTACCCTGAAATTTTTAAGGTTCAGACATTTACTGGTGATTTTTAAGAATTTATAATTTATTTGCTATTTATCAAGACGAAAGTTTCAAACTTTTTGTTGTAGTTCCAAAATTAAGAATAAATTAGGTGAGTTTAAAAATGACGAATTGACATAAAATTATGGATTTTGATAAACGGTACAGATGATTACCTCGAAATCTATTCGACTAAGATTCTGAACAAGAAGGAGTAAAAGATTACTGTTGTAGAGTTCTTGCGCTAATTGAGCAACAACGATGTCGGCCTGAGGTTCCGATTCGGCAGTTCCGTATAGCATATTTTTAATGTGTACCAAGTTTTTGCTCACATCTTCTTGAGCCTGAAAACAGAAAACGTTTTTATAAAATTTTTCTCTCATGTAATATCGTAGCTACGAAAATAATCCAATTTATCTTACTTTTTCGACTTTTTTATCACCACGCTCCAATGCATTGACTGCTTCTTTCAGAGCTTTCACCACCTCTGCTGGGCTCTTTTGAGATTTCCCAAACAGAGGCATGATTTCTTGAAACGTGAAAAAAAGTTGCTCGTTAATTTTAATAACATACGATGATAAAACTTTAATATTTCAAAAATTAGCACAAATAAAAAATATTTTTATAAATAATATTTGTTTTCATCTGTTAATAGTCAAACGCAACGTATCAACAATATTGTAAAGGTACAAGAAGAAACAGAGGGAATTAATCACGTTTACACGTCACGTAGATAACAAGTAAGAATAACAATAACACCAGAAAAAAAATACACAAATGCAGAATACTCGAGCAGTATTAATGCTGGATCTGAGAGACAAGAATAACATGATTTGCAAAGTGCTGGAACGAGGTAATTAGAGCTTAAAGAGGATACCTACTTATCGAGCAGAGAAATTAAGAGACTCGTTAATGAGGAGAAAAATACAATTTATAAAGAAAATGGTAATCTAACCTACGGTACCTGGACAAGAGAGAGTGTGAGAGAAGGGGGGGGGGGGGAATTAATAAAAAATAAGGTGTGATGCAGGAGAGGCTGCTGCGAGCAGTTGGCAATTTAGAGGTAGGACGTATATATTATATATTGAGCGAACGGACGGCAATAAGCAAGTTTTATAGATAGATGTACTCATATGTATATACGTATACGTCTGTATACAGAAATAAAGTACTGCACGCGTCGTGGTGCGTGTATGATTGCATTATGCAATGCTCGTAAGTATAATAACATGCATGCATCACGTATAGAAGAGCCTAAATCAACGTTATTATGTATTTAGGTATCTCGGACTTACCATTTAAATGAACGACGAGGCTTTAGAGGCACTTGCGGTTTTGTTTCTCGGGTCTCAAAAACTCTCTCTGGAGCAGGTCATCGGAGGATCGGAGTGAGAGCGAGCCAGACAGATAGACAGAGCAAAAGAGAGGAGGCGATAATATATAAAAGAGAGATGATGCGAAACGGAGAGAATAGGTATATAGGTGTACCTAATAGCTATGGGGGAGCGAAAGACGGGCTCAAGGGGGGATCAAAGACGGAAGGAGAAAAAAGGATAAGTAGGCTCAATCGGAAATTAGAGGTGTTGTTATTAGTATAGATGTATATTTTTTTACACAGCGATTGATCCGCTATTCGATTGGATGACGAGTAGGTATATATGACGACGCTGACGAGAATTACGTTTCGTTGTTCAGTTGTTGGCTACTGCTGCGGTGTCTCCCGAAAATTTGCACTTTCCTCCGCTAAAGTCGCGGAGAACCAAAAAGTGATTAAGTACAATCCAATCCTGACAGATGTTGTTCAGCTTTTGTTATATTGGTTGTACAGCTACGAATAGGTACACGGGTTTTATGACAAAATGGAAAGGAAAAGAGGAAGAGAAAGAAGGCGCGCAGGGCCGTGGAGATTTTAAATCACCTGTGTACTCTTACACTTTTAAATGCTTACAGCTCCACTGGAAACATAACACCACAAATTCACACGTACTTACTACGAGTAGGTACACGTCAAATCAGAAATCACATGTCATTTTACATGAACACTATTAAGTAAGGTATAGTTGCGAATTAAAAGGCTGTTAAAAGGTTTGTCACTGAGTGCAGACTGAAGTCTAATGATGCGTGTTGCGTGAATTTGCACCAAAAAACAAGAGCAGAAACCAAGGTAAGTAATATATTTACACTGCTCGCGCACCGTGTACTATATTATTGCTGCACGATGCCCTATTACTATATGTACTGTGTACAATGAATATATAGGCCGGCACACCGTAGGTACAGGTATACATCTACACTTTATTACTTTAGTTTGATCCGTCGATGATAATTAAAGTAAACTACAGGCTCGGCACTATCGGTATATCCTGCGACGCGATGTTTAGTTGTGTACAGTGATATAACAACAACAAAAACAACAAACGCATCACCAATCCACCAAAGTAGTGAGTGACGATGACGGAGTGACGGACGAATCCGGGACGACCTATACGCAGATAGTACAGATAACAGATTACAGATGATGACCACACCATATAGGTATAGACCACTACGGGCGGGTCTACGCTGCAGCGACCACACCAGATAGTATCACGCAGATGTTATCAGACTAACAGCTATCAGTTTAAATAAAGCAAATAATTGAAGCATTTACTTAATGTTTTAATTTGATTCATTATCTAAACAACAATCTGACAAATTATTGAGAATCATTAGAGAGTTATTAAAAAGATGAAGGCGGAGCATAATGTAAACAAAACTATATACTTATAGTCGAATCGAATGGATCGTTCCATTACGCTCTCAGCTGATAAAAGAACAGGCAAATTTTATTTCTTCAAAATCATGCGGGTTTTTGTATACGATTGCACTTATGTTAACACTCATAACACAAATGTTTTTTTAAAAGATAATTTTCAGTTTGAATGGAATATCGTCATGTGAATGCATGATTAAATTATGTTGAAAATATTTTTTTTTAATTTGTATAATTAATACAAGGAATATTCCAAAATTCCGTGTATTTTTATTTTGTCTTAACTTGAATCAAATAAAATTGTTGATATAAATATATTTTTTCAGAGTATTGTAAGCAAATCAAGTAGTTTTGATTACTTTTGATTATAATTGTATGATAAACTTATAAAATTCTGCCAAACAATATATAATCGACCTGTTTCAACCAATCGAATAAAGAATAAAAAAGCCTCAGTCATGTGGCAATTAATCTTTTGAAATAGGAATTTTTTTTTTTCTGTAATTTTTAACAACAAACTACTAAAGTTTATTTTTTACGCAAATTACTCAATCAAGACAAAATAATGATTCGAGCATGAAGCCCAAACTAAGATTTTGAAAAGTTTCTCAATTTTATTTTATATTCATCTGCTCCCCTTCTTTTAAATCATTTTGTAAGGTTTTTTTTTTTATTTCTTGTTGTTCAAATTTTAGCGCTTTTAAACAACTTAATCTGAATCTTCAAAAAGATATAGTTATCTTAAAATGTGTGCTCTCTCTCTCTTTCTGATCTCGGAGAGCAGCTCTCCCTACTAGTCCCTACCTATAGGGGTGCGTTCCGAAAGTCAAAATCGTCGTGTAATAAAAGACAGAGCTGCTGTCATCAGATCGTCACATAAGGTAAAGTCTGGAAGTGGGAAGTCTATAGCTGAGGCTTAGCTCCAGTAGTCACTTTACGTCATGTGACGATCCGGTGACAGCAGCAGCGCTGCCGTTTACACGGCGATCAGCGAATCTGCAAATGACTTTCGGAACTCGGAACGCACTCCGGTCCCTAGTCCCTAACCATGGGTGTTTTGTACCGTTGAGCTCCTCTTGTTTTGTTGTTACTTTTTTTTATGTTTCATCAAGTGGTGTTTGGTGGAGAACACTGTCAATATCATTTTCCTGATATACTTTCTTGTTTATTGTTCAAATAAATAAATAAATAAATAACACGGCGTGATTACTTGACACGCACGCAAAACGGCATTGTTTTACAATTGCTCTTTATATCGTGCCGATCTAAATAAAAAAACGTGTGAAAAAGTGAGGCAAAAGTATGTTCATCCATTCTCGAAATACGATTCGTCGTTTATGGTGATAATATGTCAAAGTCAAATATAAGGAAAATACCAGTTGACCCTACGAAATGTAACATTGACTCTCGACGTCCAAGTGTTTTCGAAAGGTTGGGAACCAAGCCTGCGGTCACTGCTGTTGCTCCAAACGCCTCTGATTATTGCAGAAATTGGGCTCTCAACGGCAATTGTTCATACGGCAAGAGTTGCAAGTCAGTTAAAACTTTACAACAATTTCAGCTGCTCCATAACTACATGCACTATATTTATTCTATCATTTTTTTCAGATATGCTAATACACATACATTAATTAGTCCGTCAAAGAGAGTAAAGAAGGACAATGCCTCTACAAATCCTTCGTTGGTAATTATTACAAATTTTTATGTTTAATCACTCTCTTTATGTATACTATAAACTAAAGTTCGTCCGATTTTTAATAATTATTTAATATGATTTTGCAGCATGTTGACGATTCATTTAAGAGAATCACATCGAAAATTGTAAAGACAACTCCCCATAGTCCAGATTTAAATATAGAAGAGTGGAATCAGACTGATTTAGAGTACGAAGACGAGAAGGTGTTGGAGAGGCGTAGGCAGCTGCTGCAAAGAGAGTTGGAGCTACAGATGAAGAAAGACAAAGAAGTACATGGAAAGGAAAAGACTAAATATAAAAAAAAGGCAATGAGTAGTTCCTCCAGTTCTCATAGTTCAAGTTCATCGAGTAGTAGTAGCTCTTCCAGTAGTGATGATTCATCTTCAAGTTCAACATCAGATTCAAGAAAAAAAATTAAAAAGTTCAAGAAGAAGCACAGTGCATCACCTGACTTTAATGACGAAAAAGAAAGAAGACGAAAGTAAGTAGCATATTTAGCATATTTTTCTCTTTTGACTTACCACAATTTGAATTTTATATTGTTTTTTCGGATTTCAAAATCAATTAAAAGAAAAAAAAAGAAGCCTGCATAAAGGATAGTTTAGACGAATGAAAAATTCTATGTGTGTATAATATTATCAATGGACTTAAGACGAAGCCACCTGACAATAATAAAATTGTTGCTTTGCAGATTAGATTTAAAGCACATAGCATCGAAAAATGAAAAGTTGACTTCAAAAAAGAAACAAAGAGTCGACACACCCCCAAAGAAAGATATCCCATCAAAATCTAACGAGAAAGCAAACAGTAGTAGTCGTACAACCGTAGCTCATAAACATGTTTCCACACTTAGAGCCAAGTCACCACTGGCCCTTCAGTCTCACGCCGCCCCGGCCAAGTCGAAAGACCGCACGAGAAGCGCTTCACCCCAGCTCAAATTACCAAGCAGAGCTGACTTAGACAAAGACAGACACCACAAAAAGCTGCGCGAACACGAGGAGCTCAGTTTGAAGGAGATGACGCAGAAAAAATCCACCGACAGGATCGACCGTAACGATCGCCTGGAGCGCCAAGACCGTCTCGATCGCCTGGACAGATCCGACAGGCTCGACCGCAAGGAGCCGGAAAAATCAAGACCCCGTCCGCCCGAGCCGGACAAACCCATCAGTCGGAGTGCCCGTAGCACCGACCGCTCGAAGCCCCGTTCCCGCGACCGGGATCGACGCTCCCGCTCCCCCGAGCGCTCCAAGCATCTGCCTTCCAAGGAGCAGCTCTCTAGAGCCAGACGAAGCCGAAGCGCCGAAAAACCGCGAGTCAGACACGAGCCTCTGCCACCGCCACCGAGCGCATCCTCGAGCCGACACGCGGACAAGGGTCCAAGCGGCTCCAGCAGCTCCGCCCGCTCCAGGGACCACGGCAGGCGCGAACGCGAGCGCAGCAAAGAACGCGAGCAGCCAAACAAGGCCAAGCACCACCACCAGCCGTCATCAACCTCTACCACGACTAACTCATCCAGCCAGCTCTTCGGTGCCTCTGGTCAGGGAAACTCGCGCCGGCAGGCCGATTACGGAAGGCAGCCCAGCAAAGAGCGCAGCCACCGGGACGAGCGTGCCCGAGATCGGGAACGCGAAGACCGCCGCGAGCGCGAACCGGCTAACAAGCGCGACCGAGCGCGAGAGCGAGACCGCATCCCGGACAAGCCCGCACGACCCGACTACAAGAGTAGCGGTCCAGAGAGGCCGAAAGAGCGCGGGGTCGAACGTCCCAAGGAGCGTCCCAAAGAACGCGACAGGGAGCGCGATCGGGACCGTGACCACCTGCCGCTCGACCGCCACCGTCGATACAAGCCAGCCCCTCCCCCGGTTCCCCCGTCCACGGGGCTGGAGCCTCGCAGAGACAGCCCAAACAGACGGGAGTACGAGCGGGCCTACGCGCGACTCACCGGCTCCAGTGCTTCGACTCACACCGAGTCCCACTCGCGCCACTGGGACGAGTCGGAGGAGCCGCAGCAGCCGGGCGTCGAGCCCTACGGCAGGGAGCCGCCCGATGAGCGACGTAAGCCTCTCGAGGCTCGGCGCTACGATAGCCCATTCTCCGAGCGCAGGGCTCCTGTGCCGGCTGCCGGTGTTGCTGATGATCGTGGCCAGCCGAGGTACGCGGATCGCGGAGCGCCACCACCGGGGTCAGGGCCCTTCGAGCCCGAGCCGCTGCTGCACCATCCGATTCGGGCACCACCCATCAGGTTTGTTTACTCATATCGTTACTGTATAGTCTGACCCGTCATGAGGCCATTGGCTAACCGATGATTTTATTGATATCGTGTAGAGAAGAAGCTGTTGGTGATAGCTGGGAGGTGCACCACGACCTCGAACGCCCGTACGGAGCTGGTAGCGAGTGGGACGAGAGGGAATGGCGACCAGGTGGACGAGCTGGGATGTGGACGGAACGAGAGGCCCTGCCGTCTCGACCTGACACTGCCCACGAGGATGAGTCCTGGTCCGGCAAAAGATACGACGGAGCTGTGCCCGACTGGAAGGTCGGCGAACCTGGCAGAAAGTGGGATAACCAGCACGTAAGAGGCGGCTACAGAAATGATCGTATTAAGGAGATCGAGCTCACTGACCCAGTGCTCAGGTAATTTTTTTTTTCTCCACTCTTTAGGAACTGTTCACTTGAATATAGTTATTTTTTTTTTCATTTCAGTAAGCGCAGACCGTTTAGCACTCCAGAGAGAAGAGAAGAGCTTCCGAGTCACGCAGCTAAACAGGCCTTGCACAATAGCATGAAAGACGAGCCTATAAACAAAAAGCTGATGGAACTGGCAGAAGGCAGGCCGCGAAGAAGTAGAGAAAAATCGGCCGACAGTTTTCACAAGAAGCTGTTGGCGAAGGAAAAGCCACCCGAAGTAAAGGAACCACCGCCACCAGTAACGCCCGTAGTAATAGAAACGAAGCGTCCGTGCCTCGATGAAACTTTACCCAACTTGCAGCACACTGAGAGCGATCTCAGTGATATTAGCGATGATCCTGATGATATTCTCAACATGGAAGAGGAAGTGACTGAGAACAACAAAGCTAAATCGAACGAAACAGACCGAGATTCTGCTTCTGTTAAGAGTCAAGATGTGACCCATCCTTCGCCTAAAGCCATGGATGATTCCGTCTTCACAAAAGACAAAGAGACTCCTGAAGCTTACAGGTACGATCATTTTCAATTGGCTGTACATAAAAACGTTTGGCAATATTATTTTCAATTAAACATGACGTTATTTTAAAGCAATAAAAGCAACATGGAAGATGAGAGTATGGAAAATATGGACTTTGAGGAAATTTCGGATGGTGAGTTGGAGGAAGACATAAAAACCAGTTGTAAAGGATTGGGAGACGCTTTAGGTGTCGATTGGGAAAGTCTCGTCAAAGAATCTCAGCCCAGACGACCCATCGGTGCTGGTCACGATAACGCACAAGATCGTTGGCAATGCAAAGCGGTCTTCCAACGCATTGGAATTTCCGTTAAAGCTGCAGGTCAAGAATTTGTTGAGGGTCTTTTGAATAAATACATTGATAATGGTAAGAAAGCATTTAGTCATAGTTTCATTTATTTTCACATGATGTGTGTACTCAGTTTCGTTCTTTTTTCATTAGAATCGAACAAGATACTACTCAACAACGTAGCTTTAGTACATACAGCATTGACGCGAAAACAATTTATGCCTAACTTGACGTACAAATCCATAAGCAGGTAAAAGATTCATTAAAAGACATTAAAGTGCTTTGTATATATTTGAAATTCAATAGTCTAATATATCCATTTTCACTATGTAGGATAAAAAGTGAGTGCAACATTGACGATGTAGAAAATCTCAAGCCTTGCACGAGTTTATACGAAGAAGCCAAGATGCTTCTTCAACAAGCGTAAGGTTTGTGTGTTTTGGAAATTTTGTTAATATTTGACTGTATATTTACAAAAAGTGTAAATGACAATGCAACGTACCATGAATAAATAATAATGATGAATCAAAAAACTTTTCTTTTAAAACAAACTTTTTGGTCTCGTCCATCCTATTAGCTGGAAGATCGCGCTGCATATAACTCTCGATAATCACGTGGTGCGGCAACATCGTTTTTCAGTATTTCCACTGTTTCGCCCATAATTCCATCATAATGAAAAAAAAAAAAAAAAAAAAAAAAAAAGATGTTCCCATTCAATTAAAGTTTGTTAGTATAGATCGAAACGATGCAATTCTCTTGCTCACACACACTCACCTCGTTTTCCGATACTTTGCTGTCATTTGTTCCCTTCAAAGACATCCTCCTCCGTTTTTCAGCATTCGTGCAGTAGAGCTCGTACAAAATCAATCCTAAAAAAAAAAGTATTTCGCTACAGCAAAATTCCTGATAAACACTACCGTACACTGCACCTTTTTTCATGCAACCGCCACATTTCAACAGATCCAAGGTTGCCACGAGATGTTTGCAATACTCCGCCTTGACGTCCAACTCCTCATCAGTGAGATCTTCCCACGTGTATCCATCGGCTCTTCCGAACAACGATACCACGCGAAACATCATGTCCAGCATGAAGCAGTTGTTTTTCGGAACCAGGACGCTCAATTCACGCTTGACGAATTGCAATATTTTCCTGGGGTTCTCGTAAATCACCTCCTCGGTCGCTGCCAGTATTCCAGCGCGAATGTACGATATCTGCGGGGATCAAACGAGCCGCGTTGAAATTGCAAGCGAGTATAAATGCAAAAAAAAAAAAAAAAAATAAAGTACCTGTTTGTTTTTTATATTCGTTCCACACTTGCTGCAAGTCCAATTGGAGCTGAAGGCCAGCGGAGCTACGGGCAGCAGGCGACCCGAGCAGTCTTTGTCGGCGCAACGGAGGGCGCCCAAGAAACTATCGAATTCCTGAAATGATATCGCACACCGAGTTATCGAGCAGCGAATTGTCAAATTATTATTATTATTTTTTTTTTTCAAAAGTACCAACCGTAGCGTCGGCACACCTGGGGCATCGGCAGGAAAACATTTTGGTCGCGCGCAAAAACTGCCTGCGCATGGTCGTGTCCCAGAGCATTTCGGTGTAGGCCATGGTGATCTCCTCGCCCTCGGCGATGTCCTCTGTCGCGTAGACTATCAGCCGGCCGGCCTCGTCGACGAGGTGGCGCGTGTTGGGCGCGCACTGGTGATTCGTCAGGGCACCCAGTGGAAAGAGCGCCCGTAGGCTCGTCGTCGAGTCCGAGTCGCGGTGCAGTGCCGCCGACTCGAACGCGTTCGTGTCCATGACGTTGCACACGCGCCGCATGAAAGTCTCGTCGTCGCGTGACAGTGTACCCTTCACGGTTTTCTTTAGCATGTCCACCTACGGGTTTTTTTTTTTTTTTTTTTTTACCTCTACCTTGGCTGTTTTTCACGATTTCTTTTAGCAACTAAAGCTTTAACAGTTTTAGTGCGTTTACAACATTAACCGAGTTCTTGGGTACAATGAATTAATTCATTAGTCTATTAGAAACAATTTTTGTCGTTTAGAGAGCTCTAGGAGGCTGTTAATGCCTAATTAATAAAAAAAAAATAAATAAAAAATTTAAAAAAAACACTAAAAATTATTCTATCGACAATTACCTGCAGAACCAAAATTTCTTACCGATTTTACGTATCTTTTTCATCATTTTACAATGATTATTATTCGATCCAGATCGAGAAATAGACTCACTCGAGTTGATCGAATACATTTCAATAAGATCTAAAACGTATATAACTCCACGTGCAGTGTAAAAAATATTCTGTCCATGCTCATTTAGGCCCCACACCAGTGAATGATAATGGATCGGTAATATATGTATAAAAAAAAAAAAAAAGAAAGAAAACAAAAAAATCGTATTGAAACCCGACGGCTGTACCTCTCGAGCCTCGTGCGCCGATCGGTTGCACTGGAGCGAGTAGCACAGCTCCCTGAGCCGTGCCGGCAAGAGCAGCGCTCGCACGGGCACGAGAGCCCTTAGCACATCGAGGGACCATCCCTGGGGCCCACAATCGGGCTCGAGCGAGCACAGGTAGGCGCACTCGCCCCGGTGGTCCACACCGTCCTGGCAGTCGTTGGAGCAGATCGGCAAGCCACACCCCCGATCGCACGGAAAAAGAGCGCAACCACGACTGTGGCAGCTCGCGCAAATCGGCAGGTACTTGCTGTAACAGCGCGGACCCAACACCAGAGCGCTGTCCCGGTAGACCAGCTCGCCCCGCTCTATCCGACTGCTCGCCATCACCCCCCGGCCACCTACAAAATATACACACAATGCTTTTCACTTTTCCCTCTTTCACCTTATATTATGGGACATCCGATGGGAGCTATATAGTATACATATATACTCAATTTGGACAGTCCGATCCTCCAATGGGTCGGCTCGCCGTTGGCTCCCTTCAGTAAGCCGCGCTCATCCAAGTATCGTCGCAGCTGAGAATCCACAAGCTCCGGGTCCACGTCCGATGGGCCATCGCTGCAGTTTTTCCCGACTTGCAACATTTTTTTTTTTTTTTTCTTTCTCTCCTTGTCCCTATATTCTCCTATACTCTTCGACGCGCCTGTCGAACATGCACTGGCCCCCGTATACGTGGGATGCCCGAAGCGTGTGTCTCGGCTAATCAACTTGAAAGATCCGGCACCGGCATGATTAAAATAGATTTCTAATAGTGCTCGCAGCTGTATCACATATATTTCGTACGTGTATACGTATATGCACGCGGCATTCGAGAGTGTGATGTATGACGGGTCGAAATTCTCGAGCACCGTATTATCGGGGGATTGATTTTTTTTTCCTCTTTTTTTTTTTTTTTTTATTTCTTTCATGAAATTGGAATCAGCTATTATAATCCACGTGGATTCCATAAGTTGGAAAGTCTTTACTTTTTTTTTTTTCGGGAAAAATAGCTCGGAAGTATAATGTAAGAAAGAAAAAAAAAAAGGTGTGTTTTGTTGTTACATGGCATACACGCCGTGTGATGTATGGCACTTGGGCTTGTGTCGCTAGATGGATTTCCACGGTTTATTATAAGGACCCTCGAGGGTATATTATTATTATTATTATTATTATAGTTTGATTCCTCCCGGATGCTAATTTTCCTCTCTGTGTGGTGTTGAAAGGTCGTCATGACGACTGACCGCAACAAAGCTTGTTCAATGTGCCGCCCACGAGCCGTCACTGTGCCTAAGTATACGTTTGATATTTAGCGCCTGTGGGTATTTATCCTCCTCCTGCGGAGACATGTTGGGGTAAAACTTTTTTTTTCTTTTCTTCCAAACTTGCGTTTGAAATCACCAATACTCACGCCTAATTTTGCCACCGCAACTTTTTTTTTCCTTCGTTTGCACGTACCCTTCGAGGCTTATGTTCATTTTGCATGTACATATATACGTAACAGTACAGTGTTTTTATTGTACGTGTTTCGTTGCTTCAATACCTATATAGTGCTTGTTTACGATTTGCAAAATTAAAAATAAAAAAACTTAAATCACCATCTACATGCTCGTTTTTGATTTGTATACATATACTCGCCGATTAATGGATTTAAAAAAAAATAGAATATTGTAAATTGAAAAAAAAAAAGAAAAAAAATTCACCGTAGGTTTGTAAAGCAAAATAAAATTTGAAAAAAACTGTTTTTTAACTGTGCAGCATCTCAAAAGAGTGTTACTCGAGCAAGTGGCACAAATGCATCGCAGTGATTTCCATAACATTAGCATTAGCGGCGCCCACGGGCTCCAATTGCAGCAGCAACCCTTGCATGTACGGAATCTGCGTCGACGACCCCAATAGGTAAAAAAAAAAGGAGAAAAAAAAATCATCCAACGAATAAATTTGATTTTTCAATTTAAACCACGTCGTAATTGCAGTTCTTACCAGTGTTACTGCATCGACGGCTACACCGGCATAAATTGCGAAATCAACTGGGACGACTGCTGGTCGCATCCCTGCGCCAACGGGGGCACGTGCAACGACGCTATCGCTACCTACAACTGCACGTGTCTCGATGGTTTTGTGGGTGAGTCATTGGTCCCCCTTTATTTATTTATTTATTTATTTTTTTTCATCATTTTTCTCGATCATCCTCATTAAATAAATGGGGCAAACGTAGGCTTAAATTGCGAGCAGAGATACAGCGAGTGCATGAACGAGCCGTGCCTGAACAATGCCACCTGTCTGGACCACAACGGCTTCACCTGCCAATGCCTCGAAGGATTCATCGGTAAGAACATTTCATTCGCTACAACGACGAAAACAATTTTTTTTTTTTTTAATTGTACGACATTTTCCATACTTGATTAGCGGAGACGTCGATTGGGACGTAATGCTAATAAAAGTATCTTCACGATGTTACATTGTAATATGTATTTCCCAATGATTTTACTACGCGAATGAAAAAAAAAAAATCCTTGAAAAAACGAATCGTCAGGCGAGTTCTGCGAGATCGACGTGGAGGTGTGCAACGAGACGACGTGCAAAAACGCGGGCGAGTGCGTGGACGGTCCAGGGCTGGAGTTCGCGTGCCTGTGCCCGGACGGCTGGACCGGCCCGTACTGCGAGGAAGACGTGAACGAGTGCGCCAACGGCAGCCCCTGCCAAAACGGCGGCCTGTGCATCAACGAGCCGGGCACCTTCACCTGCGCCTGTCTATTCGGCTACACGGGCCGAGAGTGCGCCAAAGTGATCGTCCCCTGCGCCGACAACCCCTGCCAGAACCGCGCCGTCTGCCTCCTCGAGGACACCCAGCCGACCTGCTACTGCGTCCCCGATTACCACGGCAGCCTGTGCGAGCTCAGGTACGACGACTGTGAATCAAAGAACGCCCGCTGCGACAACGGGGGCACCTGCGTCGACGGCGTCAACAACTTCACCTGCTCCTGTCCACCCCCCTACGCCGGGGACATGTGCACCGTCCTCCTCCACCTCGCCGAGACCACCACCAGCTACGACGACCTCGCCACTCCCTCGTTCGGCACGGACGACCCGGGGCAACTCACGAGCCTCACCGACCGCTACTACACCGATACGAGCTTCGAGCCGAGCGCGGCCACGACCGAGGAACTCTTCGAAACGACCGAACCGGTCGAATCTTCCTCGGTGGGAGTCGACGGGGGGCTTTCCACGACCCCCGTGGACGAGGATCTCGGCTTCGTAACTGGCTTCCAAATCGGGGGTGGTAAACACCACGGGACCCGGACTAGCGTCGAAGCGACCAACGCCACCAGCGAGTCGACCGAGCGAGTGTTTACCCTCGATGGGGACGAGGTGTTTTCACTGGCCGCGTCCGTCTCGACGGGCGGGAGTGCCTCCGAGGGGTTTCCGACGACCCCGATAGTCCTCGAGGTGACAAAGAAGACGACGACGAGCGAGCCCTACTGGCGGAGCAGCTCGGTCTCCGACTACGACGAGACGGCCAACACGAGCAACGAGCCCTACTCGACGGACACGCCGGGAGATGGTGGTGGGAACGCCACCGAGGGCTCGACGGTCATCCAGCACGTGACGATGCTGTCGTCGACCATCTACGTCGAGGACAACGCGACCCGTGACTCGTCCACTGGGAGCCCTACCTACAGCGCTGCCTCCTCCGATTTGACGACTCTGGTGGACTTTCTGCAGACCAACTTTGTCACGGACTACGGGATCACCGAGGAGGACACGGGAGCACCGGCTTATACCACCGGTGCACCCACCACCACCACCGAGCCGGGACTTGTTTATAACTGCGACAGGGACCAGTGCAACAATGTCACGCTGTGTATGTACAATGGCACGCGGTGCGACTGCAGTTACCCGGGCAACTGTAGGAAGCGCTCGAGCATACGTAACGCCGCGTTCAGTGGCAAGTCGTACGTGAGGCAAAAGTTCACGGTGGACGACGGGCTGCTCAACGTGTCCGTGCGACTGAGGACGCGGGCGAAGAGCGGGATCCTCGTGCACGCGCTCTTCGACGACGAGAGGTACATTTTGCTGTACGTCGAGGCCGGCCAGCTCAAGTTTCAGTTTTCCTGCGGCCTCCAGACCATGCTCTTTGGGGAGTTGGACTCGCCGATCAACAACGGCTTCGAGGTCGACGTCGAGATCAGGTTTGCATCGTCATTGTGGACAATATTGTATGTATGATATATACACTTGGTTTTACGGGCTAACGGAACTCGATGTTTTTGGTGTAGGTTTCACTACATCGTGGAGGCAGTGTCGGACAAGTGCCTGGCGCGACTGCTCGTAAACAGCAGCGTGGTCATGAGCGGGGAGCAGGTGCTCCAGGTCCACGGGACTATGCCGCAGTACGCGAGGCTGCACCTCGGCGGCATCCCCGTGGCGTTTACCCAACAGTTCCCGCAGATTGTCCTCGGCTTCGTCGGATGCATGAGCTCGTTCAAGGTACACGCGCCCATCACGAAAGGTTTCGAACCGCGTGCATTTATTGTTTTTTTTTTTTTTTTTTTTTTTTTATTGAAAAAGATGAACGGCATGGAGCGGGATTTCATCTACGACTCCGTCGAGGCGGTGCAGATAGAGGAGTGCGATTCTTTTCTGTGCCTGTCGAGTCCGTGCAAGAATTTTGGCGCCTGTCAGGAGGTCGAGGGCAAAGTTAAATGCAAGTGCATCGCCGGGTGAGTGGATTCGGTGAAAATTATTCATTTTTAACAAAGAGTTGGTGTGAAAAGATTTTCTTTTTTTTTTTTTTTAACAACAGTTACAGCGGAGAAACCTGCGAAAAGTCCGTGTGCGATGACAATCCATGTCGTCTGGGGGCGACGTGCTTGATATCGCCGGGAGCGAACTTCATTTGCGTCTGTCCTCTGGGCACGCACGGCCTGTACTGCGAAAAGGGTAAGTGCACAAATACAAGAACAACACCTTTGGCACTTGAACTAGCAAAACTGTTGGGTAAAATACTTTATAGACGCCACGATATACCAGCCGTCGTTTTCGGTCTTTTCGCCGGGGCTTTCGTCATACATGGCCTACGGCATCAGTACTTCGCTCAAGGATCACATGGAGCTGAAGTTGCGGATCGTCCCTCAGACGTTGGATCAAATATCTCTGATAGCCTACATGGGCCAAACCGGGGCAAAGCCCGACACGTCGGATCATTTTTCGCTCACCTACGTTCGCGGGTACATCATGCTCACCTGGGACTTGGGCTCGGGAGTTAGGAGAATTTTCACCGACTCGCCGTTGAATGTCAGGCCTCACCGAGTTCACACGATAAGGATCGGGAGGAGGGGCAGGGATTCGTGGTTTCACGTGGACGGGATGGGCAACGTGACTGGAAGAGCTGCCGGCACGAACACCAGGCTGGACGTTTCGCCGATTCTTTACATCGGTGCGTTGTTAGAGCGTATAAGTGTGTTTTTTTTTTTTTTTTTTTACCTGAAACGTCGAATTTTTAGGTGGACACAAATCGAGGTACTTTGAAACACTGCCGCACGATCTGCCGCTTCACACTGGGTTTTCCGGATGTATATACGACATCGAGTTGAAAACCGATGACAACGTCTTCCCTTTGACAATGTCGAGTCCGGCGACCGGGCGGGGCGTAGGAGAATGCCACCGCAACGAATGCTCTCACAACTCGTGTAAAAACGGTGCGGTGTGTTTGAATTATGGGCCAACCTATAGGTATTAGTTTTATATAATCAAATTTTATGTGTATGTTTATTTACAATCGTTGAATCATACACTGCAACTTTGTTCCCCAGCTGTATTTGCATGAAAGACTGGGAAGGACCAGACTGTTCTACGCCAGCAAACTGCAGTTTGTCGGAATCATTATGCCACAAGGATAACAATTAAAGTTGTTGCAATCAAGTGGATTGAGTTACCTTCACGTGATGTTTGTTGATTTTGTTTTTGGTTGACTAGTCATGAAATTGGAATTCATGTGGATGAACAGAATCGCGGCTGCCATTCGCGATTGCAAATCATACTTTGCGAGATCATGAGACCATTCCACGTTGCCCCAGTGAGAAATCTGGGAAAAATGTATTTTATAATTTGATTTGAAAGTAGATTAGAAATGTTTACTTTTATTTACCTGAAACTCTTCCTCTAATCTAGACAGTTCAACAGCTTCTTCGACAGAAATCACTCTTTCAGAGGCTGCTAGAGTTAAGATAACAGATTTCACGGTGTCTACTCCATACATGAAACCTTTAATTATTCATCAAATTATTTGACACACTATTGTACGTTGTTGCATTATTAGATAGAGCTGTACTATTACAGCTAAAAAAACTAGAATCTTTGTTTTTTTTAATACAAATTTTATAAAGTATGTAATAAACACGTTTTTTAATTGAGAATTTGAAAAAAATAAAACAAATCTTTAAACCAATGTTTTTTTTTAATGAAACTCACCATAAATTGCATCATCATCATTCTGAGATAATAAATGTTTTGTGATCTTATCTTTTGTGCTTTGAGGCACTTTAGGAGCATCTATACTTTTGGTCTTAACAATATCGACCTGATATCGATCACAAAACCATTGTATCATGGGATCCCACTTTCGTTGCTGCAGCTTGTACAATTCATCCAAATCCTAATTTTAAACAAGTTTTAAAAGAAAATTGCTAATTCAAAATTTCAACTTCTCACTAGTGCTACGAATTACAAACTTACTGGTGAATTGTCGCTATTATTTGATTGAAATAGCAAAGTATCTGTCTCCAAATAATTGACAATATATTTTGATATATCCTCCTTAGTCAGTTTGTTGGGATTATCTATCACTGTACTGCAAAGAGCAGTCTGAAATCAAGAGCATTTATTTAAGTACACCTGTATCTTGCGTTTATTAATTTCTTAATTTCCGCAAGTACTCACTAAATGCATAATATTACGATTAATCACATCTTTTTGACTGTCCCATTCGTGAGCTACTGCCAAGGCCAGCGGCTTACTTTTAACTTCAAACACCTTTCCAAGGGGTGTTTTCAATCTTTTTTGATCCAACGTTATTTCATACTTATCGTCATTGCTTGACAATATCCCAGTTTTACGATAAAACCTTTTGACGGCAGCTGTAAAATTGTAACAATCATCATTTTTTTAAATTCGCAACGACATAATAAATCAATTTTAAGGTTACAATTACCTAACGTTCTACATTGTGCCGGGAATGATATGATGGTCCGAAGTCTCGAGCGTAACATTATTGATATTCCAATTATATCACTCACCTCAAACAAACAATTAACTTTCGTTTAATTATTACTTATAAATATCGAAAGAATTTGCACGCAGTTATTTTCAAATGTGTGCGCTCTCTTTTCCCCGTTGCACACACAAAAACAGAAAGCAGACGACAACGTCGAGAGAAAAACAAAGTTTGCTTGTGTGTGTGTATTCTAATGTGTATGTTTTATATATATATACACTCATGTCTCATGCATGTGCATACACAATGCGCGACACAAAGAGCAATTAAAGGGGGTACCGTAAGTGCAGCTATACTCTGGCTTGTTTTCGATATGTGCTCTAAATTTTTGCATTTAATTAGTTCGAATAAGTATAGTATTGATTGTAGTGTCATTTTCGCATGCAGCTATACGTTGTGATTGAGAACTACAAAAACAAACAAAGGTTAGTTGTACTGGATAAGTTAAAACCTTTTTTTTTTTTTTTTTTTTATAGGTATACTATAAATGATTTGATCGATAATTTATTTCAACAGATTATTTAAAATCTCATATACACTCCAATTTAAAAATGAAAAAGGTAGAGAAAGTAGAAAAGCTGTACGCTTGCAGCGAAACTTCATCGAGCAAGCAGAGTATCTCCAGTACGGGTACAACTGCCAGTATAAGCACTCCGCAGGATGAGAGTTTCAAGCTGGACAAACATGCCGAGCGATGTTTGCGAACCATGGAAGATTATCTGTACAAGCAACAACTGACAGATGTGATCCTGATTGCGGGTCAAAAGCGCATTCCAGCTCATAGATTGGTGTTGAGTGCAAATTGCGAATATTTTGCAGCAATGTTTACTAATTCCTTGAGAGAAACATTCCAAAACGAAATCGAACTCAAAGAAGTCGACGGGGACGCTCTTTGGGGCATTGTCAGGTATTTTTACACCGGTATCATAGATTTACTGGAGGACAATGTCGAGACGCTGCTGGCAACGGCATCTCTGTTGCAACTCAGTAGTATAGTCGAAGCCTGCTGTCAGTTTTTAATTAAACAACTCCACCCGAGCAACTGTCTGGGCATCAGAAGATTCGCTGACATTCATGGCTGCACAAACTTATTGCACACAGCTAATGTTTACACCAACGACCATTTCATGGAAGTGGTAAAAAATCAAGAGTACCTCTTACTCACTGCCGACGACGTAGCGATGCTACTTCAATCCGATGATCTCAATGTTACTTCCGAGGAATCTGTATTCGACGCGTTGCGAAGATGGCTGGAGCACGATCCCAAAATCCGGCAAAAGGAGTCGAGTCGTTTGCTAGCCTACGTCAAATTACCTTTACTGACGCCTGCATTTTTAACCGATTACGTGGAAAACAATGAAATGTTCCGGGAACAAAGGAGCTCACAGGCAATTCATTAAAAAATATCTAATATATTGAACACAACTCTATTTTGTCATTATCATGGCTAAATGGTCATTTTAATTTCAGGTCCTGATAATGGAAGCCCTGAAGTACCATCTCTTACCCGAACGTCGCCCAATGTTGCAATCAAACCGCACCCGACCGCGAAAAGCAACCGTCGGTCAACTACTGTCAATAGGAGGAATGGACACTCTTAAAGGAGCGACAACGATAGACGTGTTCTCCCTCCGCACGAACACCTGGAGGACGCTGGTCAACATGAGCTCCAAGCGCTCGCAGTTTGGGGCAGCTGTCGTGGAAAAGAAACTGGTGGTCGCTGGTGGTCGAGATGGCTTGAAAACCCTCAACACCGTGGAATGCTTCGATTTCAACGCTAAAACGTGGGGCTCCTTGCCTCCCATGACTATACACCGGTTCTTACTTTATTAATATACATTTTAGTGTTATTTTTTTCATTTTAAATGTAAAATAACTTTATTTATTATCCAAACAGTCACGGATTGGGCGTAACAGTCCTGGAGGGTCCGCTGTATGCCGTGGGAGGTCACGATGGCTGGAGTTTTCTGAACACGGTGGAGAGATGGGACCCCACGACTCGTCAATGGACCTACATTTCTCCAATGTGCTCCCAAAGGTTGTAGTACGAAGATTTGTATCAATATTTATTCCAGAATATGGAATAATTATATTCATAATAATATTATGAATATAATTATTGCAGAATATGGAATAATTATATTTATAATGTTAAAGGTCGACTGTTGGCGTTGCCGTCCTAAACGACAAGCTATACGCCGTTGGAGGAAGAGATAACAGCTCGAGCCTGAGCACGGTCGAATGTTACGATCCGCACTCAAACAAGTGGACCTCGTGTGCACCAATGTCCCGACGTAGGTTAACTAATTTATTTTCCATTCATATCCTTAACTGACATCTTTTGTCTTTTATTATTATTTCATTGCTTTCCTCTATGAGTTGCCTAAAATACTCTTTCCAGGTCGAGGTGGGGTCGCTGTCGCCGTGATGAACGGGTGTTTGTACGCCCTCGGGGGACACGACGCACCTTCCAGCAATCCCCACGCTAGCCGGTTCGACTGTGTTGAGAGGTACGATCCCAAGACAGATACCTGGACGACCGTGGCTTCGATGAGCATTGCCCGTGACGCGATCGGTGTCACGGTTTTGGGTGACAAATTGCTCGCCGTAGGTGGGTACGACGGCCAGCAGTATTTGAGCCTGGTCGAGGCGTACGATCCACTTTTGAACGAGTGGCATCAGGTTACTCCTTTGAATTCCGGCAGAGCAGGCCCTTGCGTTGTCATCGAGAATTCTCTGACTTTTTAATTCTTATCGGTATTATTGCATCTGCAACAGCCTCAATTGCAGCCGTGCTTGATTCAGTATTTATGATATTATCACTATTATTGTATTTGATATTTTTTACTTTATCGACACTGATTTATAGTTTGTTTTGTAATTTACGTTAGCAATTATACAGCTAGCGGTTTATGCTTTAAGACGAGTAACGTCGAATACTGTTAACGCATCGATTTGACAGAATTTTAAATTAGATTTATCGAAAATCGTTGTGACTTGTGATATGCGTAGAAAATTGTTTTATTGACTTGGAAAAAAAAAAAAAAAAAAAAAGTATTTAAAAAAAAGAATCGTCATATTTCTGAAAAAATTAAATTGCATTTTTTCTGCAAAAACCTGTGAAAGTTTTTATATGTATTTAATTTATTGGTCGTATTAATATTCGTTTGTTCCTGCGTTTAGGTAAGCGTCATTCACTAATTCTTCAGAGATATGATGTATGTAAAAACCTAAAAATATTTTAGAACTGTAATTTTAGCCAAAAAAACACTGTACTTTTTTACATGTACTGGAACAAAAAAAAAATAAAAATAAAATTTTGTAAGTACATAAAGAATTTTTTTTGTTCCTTACATCTCAGTGGAATAAAAAGAGAGAGCGTTGCCCACTTGCACATTATCGTTCATCATCGTGATCGTTTTCCTCCAATCCCGCATCGACCAATCTTAATCGGAGCGCCCAAAAATTTTTTATTGACTCTCCAAAACCGCAAAGAAACTCTGTTCTACTCGCACCGACTTCAGTTCTCTTTGGCTGGTTTAGCAACGAAAGCGAAGCTGCACAAGAGTGCACGATAGCGAAGATATACAAGGGTGGGAGAGAGAGCGAAGAGAGCGCAGCACTACAATCAGGTGGTTTGGAGTTTGGAGAGCTGATTCACATCGAGGAGAATCCCGATAGAAAGCAGAGAGAGTGTGTGTCCCGTTCCATCGTTATAATCGAGTTTTCGCGCATTTAACCACAAAAATCACTTAGCAGCCGGTTAATTTTTTACCCCGTGGCCCGCTTGTATTAATGACAAAACAACAAAAATGTACCTGTCGAGGCTGACTCTGTGCGTGGTTTTTATTTTGCTCGCCTCGCTCGAATCTAAAGCTAATCTAAATGACGACATACCCTTAACCAAACTCGGCTCCAAATCGGGGCCGACGCTTAGATTTTTTTACTGGTGAGTTTATACCTTGCTTATTCTTCTTTACCTTTTTCCTTCGTCTTTGTAATCGTGTTTTTTCGTTAACTCTGTTTCAACAAAGTACGCTTTCTTTTCGTGCTTGACGTGTACGTCTATTTTTCGATCAGAAATTATTTCTTAAGGAGAATTCTTAATAAGATAAGGCCTCATAAACTTGGCTTCAACTGCCCAGCAACGTGTACATTCATTACGTACGGGCGATCAATGCTTGTACAAATACCTAAATTGTCTTTTTTTTTTTTTTTTGCAGTTATTCTTGTGGGTACAGGAAAGTTTTTGAAGATTACGTTAACATTTTGAGACAGAAATATCCAGAATTGCAGATCGATGGAGAGAACTTTAATCCTCCAGGAATAAATATGAGCCTTGCTAAGTTTTTGGTAATTATAACTAATATGTGTATAAAAACATATGCTAAGAATTACTTTTATACGATTACTCATCGCTGTAATCAGCTTAGCAACTCTAAATCATAACATTGTCACTTTTTCAGGGTGGACTCAAGATTCTAGTCATACTTTTAATATTTAGTAAGATAAATATATTCCAGTGGATTGGGCAGCCCATGCCATTTTGGTGGCAATGGTGCATAACAAATCGTCTATACTCTTGTGTTATATTGTTCTTTGCATGTAATGCAGCTGAAGGCTATTTGATTTCCTCTGGAGCATTTGAAATACATTTTAATGGTGAGAGAACGTTTGGGAAACTTTATAAAATATTTGTACGGTTTAAAATACGAAAACTTATCACATATTTTCAGATGTTCCTATTTGGTCAAAACTGGAAACTGGAAGAATACCTCAGCCTCCAGAGCTATTTCAAATTATTGATTCACAATTACAAATGCAATTCCCTGACATGGAAATGGGAAATTTAGGTCGTAATTAGTAGTGAGCATTTGTTCTTTTTTTTATGCATTTGAGCAAATTGTTTTATTCTTTATTATACCTAAGTAACAGTGGCATTTGTAAAATAATTCTGCATATAACTATTGCAACTAAATATAATTAATCTTAAAGTTTTTTCAAAAACAAATTAAATCAAAGTTTTATCTACGTGTTTGTATTATATCGGTCATTTGCACTGATCAGTGAAAAGGATGGCGTCAAATTCAATGTTTTTTATATGTCTTATAACTGTAGAATATGTAAGATTACGAAGAATGAATTTCACGTGTTTGTGTAAATAAAATACAATGCACCAAAGAATTCATAATACACCAGAACAACAAAAACAACAAAAGACGATTTATAATACTGTTGTTTTTCCACTTATAAGTACTATTTGAATACAAGAAATAAAAGTGTTTTATTTAAAAAAAAAAAAAAAAAATTAGATTAGGCACAGGATTTAATCATCCCTTAATTTTTCCTCTTCTTCTTTTGTTCGCGCTTCTTTACACCTGATGATGGATAATTAATTCAAAAAAAAAAAAAAATCGTACGATTAGCCAACGTTCTTTAAACATCCCTTTGTTGTGTTGTGATTTGGATTTTTTTTCATGCAGTAAATTGGCAGGTGCCTTGAAAATTTTTCTTGTGCAATTTTGTAAAGTATCATACAAATAATTCATCAAGTAAGTATGACATGTTATTTCTGAGCAAGGCGGTAATTCCTCTAATCGTTAAACTTAACATCAAGGAACGTTAATTAAATATTAGCGCAAACGCAATAGTTAAAATTATGGCGTTAGGCCTACCTACAAAGGTAGCCTATGTGTAGGCGCAATGAATCGTTGGAAGTTTGAGCTTCGAGGTTCAAGTACAACCGTGGTTTGTTTTAGAAAATCTTAATTACTCTCTGTAGAGTCTAAATATTTTTTAGCTTTGACTAGAAAATGGGTAATTGTGTTCGCTTATGCTAACACTAAGTATTGAAAAGTGAAGTATAATTGTCGTGCACACAGCACTCATTGTTTGCAACGTCACTTTAGTCGGTTTTCGGTAACGTTAAAGAGGTTATCGACCGGTGTCTATCAAAAAGTGCTATTTTTTTTGCCACACGCAAGCACTGTTGTTTAAAAAAAGAATGGAGCGACAATGCCAATGTGGTGGTTCTCACGACGAAAGGGAGCTTGGAGTCCAGTATAATTTGTACGAAAAAATTGATTTACAAAATGTTGAGTGCCTTAACGAACTGGCGGAAGGTTCTGGAGTTAAAGTTTTCAAGTCTTGGGAAGAGCGTCTGGACCACACAAAGGTTTTTTTCTTTCATTTAGTTTTAAAGGTCTACTTAAAGTCAAAATTGTAAAGTTAAACATTACAATTTCTTCAACTGATAAATTTAAAATTTTTACAAGAATCGCTCCTGTTTATGATAACTTTATTAATTACGCCATATTTGAAGAATTTCCATTGCACATCATTATGTGTTTATCATTGTTTCTTAATACACGTTTTAAATATTTTTGTTTTTTTTTTACAGTATGTTGAAAGTGATGTAGATGAGGAACTTCTTTTTAACATACCGTAAGTTTGAAATCTTCATATAGTATTGAACAAAAATGTGTGCTCAAAAATTAATAAACTCAATTGATCTACAGATTTACTGGTGATATTAAGCTCAAAGGTATTATCATAGTGGGAGGACCAGGCGAGTCTCATCCTACTGAAGTTAAATTGTGAGTAACGTTTGATTGTTTTTCTTTCTCTTCTTTGTATTTTTGTAATAAAAATAGTTTTTATTTTTAAAATGTGTGTGTCCACAGATTCAAAAACAGAGAAGGAATGACATTCGATGAAGCTGCCAGCGAACCTGAACAAAAGTTTGAGTTAGTTATTGACCAATATGGTGTTCATGAGTATCCTGTCAAGTATGTGATTGAGATAATTGATTAGTTTTGAAACGATTATAATATATGCCAAATCTTACACTGAAGATATAATTTGAAAAAAATTGTATTCAATGTGAATTTGAGAAAGATATCAAGTTATAAATAGAAATTAAGACTTTCTTTGTTTCGATTCTGACTAAGCGGAAATTATTTTGGTTCACAGAGTGGCAAAATTTTCTTCAATGCATTACCTTACCCTCCATTTTACCGGAAACCAAGGAGCGGAGAGGACTAGAATTGATTACATTGGACTCAAAGGAGAATGGTCACCTGGGCACCGTCATGGAGTGACTATTTGCTCGTATGAAGCCATTCCACAGCACCAAGATCATATTACTAGTGATGACAGTCACTCTGATTTTTCACGTGAAGTTTCATAATTTTAAGCTATTGCTACTTGTATAACTGAGAAGTAATTTAAGTCTGATACCTTATAAGTAAAATTATTTTGCTTTATTGTTAACAGTTTAGAAGTTCGAAAAATGATTTTTTCCACTCGTAATTTTGAATACAAGAAATAAAAATATCTTATTTAAAAAAATGTAATCAAATTCTGGAATTAATTAATACTTCAAAAAATTATACTCTTGATTTGAGTTTTTAATCAGTATGTACTAGCAAATATATGCAATAAAATCATACCACACTGTGCTCCAGAAACACATTGAATTCGTAGAGCCGGGCTATTGCTATCTTCATTTGGGTGAAGATATGGGTGACAAAATAAAAGTCAGTCAACCACATGATTGAGGCGCCCCATTTTCAAACTGATTACCAATACTGTCATCAAAAGTAAAAACTATTTCATTTTTCTACCACACCCATTTGAAAATTGTTTTTAGGCTCTATCAGTGACATTTTTTAAGTCAATTTATCATGAACAAAAATAAAATCTTTGAGCTCTCCCTCAAAAGATAATAGAGTACTTTCATACTCTAATTAAACAGTACGGTGATCGGAATAAATGCACCTTCTACAAATAAATCCTGAATATTAATATTGTCTGTATGTTTATTAAACATAATTCTCAATAGTCATTTAATTTTGATTTTATTTTAAATCTTTTTGTGACAGAGACTTTTTCGTTGCTCCGTATGATTAAAAAAATCGTGGCTTACATTCTTTTAGCACAATTCAGACGATTGTTTTGAATTCTTGTTTCACTTGATGCACATGTACATTTCAAAAATGTTTATATTTAATTTTTTGAAACGATGCATTTTTTAAAATAACGATTACACTATGCTTCTGACGAGTTTCCGTCCTCTGTATACAAGGAAGAAGCAAACTGATTGAAAAAAAAAAAAAAAAAAAAAGTGTTCATCAAAGGACTCGCACGTGACATCGAACGGAGGGATCAAGCGGGTCCACCTCGCAAGCATAAAACTCGGTTCGACGCGCGTTCGGAGCACGTAAAACACACCAGACCCGTATACACATATACTTAGCGCGTGTCTCTCTGCTGCGGGCGATATTAACCGGCCTGTTTCCGATTCATTATATTTTTAGACAGGTCAGATGGGCACAGAACGAAATAAGTTTTCAAGTCGCATCGAACGAAATTCCGCGACAACGCGCTGCATGCACCAGGACCCTCGGTTTCTGGCTTGCGTTCGTTCGCCCCGTTTTTACCGGCGAAGCTTTATTTTGAGCTGCGGACGGCACGCGTATTGGAGAGCCAAGACTGCGTTGTTGTTGTACTTGCACACCCCGATGGTCGAGCTTTTTTGTGCTTGGTAATTCGCTGCACGCCCGAAGAAGAGGCCAACGAGCGCTGCCTCAGTCCGATACAAAGAGGCCCGAGATCGAGATCGGCCAATGACCGGTTACCGATTTATTGTTTGTGTGAGTAACGAGTGAAAAAAAAAAAAAACAAACAACAACTTTCCGAAATTTAATGTGACTTGCTCTCGCGCGCTTTTGCCGATGCACCTTACCGGTGAGTACAAAAATGTACATCTCTAAATATCGTTGAAATCGATCGCGCGCTCTGCTGCTGCTACTTTGCTCGTAATCGGTACCTACATCTCAATTTTGTCGTATAAGTAAACGCGCAAAGTACCGCATAATCTCTTCTTCTTCTTTTTCTCCCTGCCTTACTCTCTCTTTCGACCTTTGAACCGGTAGAGTATACATTAGCGTAACACTTTTTTATTGACACAAGTACATGTATATATGAACTACAGTAGATATACTTATACGCTTTTGTTGCAATAAGAGCGTGAAATCACCATACATGTATGCTTTTTCTAAAGATACGAAGTAGCTATACGCTGTATTTTAGTACTCGAGGAGTTATCATCGCTGATACACAATTGTGTTAACGAAATCCACAAATGCTTATACGCAGGAAAAAAAAAAAAAAAAAGGAAGCGGAGCTGCGTAAATATATTATTGTGTGGGTATAGATACAGAGAGGATATATATAATATATATAACATGTATTTACCCCTGGATGCCTCGATTATGTCGCCGCGTTTTCAAGCGTGTTTTTCGTAAAAACATAATCGAGAGAAAGAACAACAGAGACCGCGTGTTTACGCGATGCGTAATTATACATAATGTATGTATATGTACGTAAGGTAAATTAAGTGGGTGATTGTGCGTAAAGTCACGGTTGTTGGGTACTTCCGACTAGTTTTTGTTTACGGGAATTTTATTGTTGCACCTACGTATACTCCGCGAATCGGTATGAAAAACCTAAAATCGAGCCAACGTTTTTTTTTTTTTTTTTATTTTATCAGCGTGCATACGTTATACACGTTACGTATCTCATTTTCAGTCAATTGACGGTAGATTAGTACGTGTGACGTGTGTGTTTTAAATCTTGATACGATCGATCGCGTACAAAAAACCGATTCTATGAAAAAAATATCGGGATCGTTGTGAATGCCGATCGCAATCGTTTTGTATTGTGCGTGTGTTTGTGAAAATTTTTCTGGAAAACTACGTTACTTATATACATACATACCAATGCGACGATGCAAACAAAGAATAAAATTATTTCGTCCGTCCTAAATCAATGCATCGTTTTTACACAATCCGTTATAGGGCACCGCTATGCTCTCGTTGATTGTTCCATTAAAAATATCTTTGAGTGATTCATTCGGCGTTTGATGATGAAAAAAAAATTTATTATTTTTTTCTCCTTGTCTATATATACAAATAGAGTGCAGTGATGAAACGAAAAAAAAAAAAAAAAAAAAAGTTCAGTAAGCACTTTATTGGCGAGAATGGACGCTGGATACTGTATTTATAAGCGTTTAAAAAAGAATCGCCTGCCTGCACATGTGTACATATACGTACATGCGATATACATACACAGAAAAAGAGATCGGATCATTATATTATATGGACGTTTGATTTGGCACAAAGGAAATTTACTGTAGCGAAAGAGCGCATGCATGCAACAACACGCGATTCATTTCTATACGACTGTACATATATATACGTGATGTGTATTTCTCTTTCTCTCTTTCTTTCGATTTTTTTTTTTTCTCCCGACGCGCGTGTGTATACCTACTTTATGTCTTTTTCAACTCGCGACGAGAGAAAAAAGGAGGCGGAGCAGCCCGCATGCAGTGTCGACCGAAATGAGTCAAATACCCGATACATCATAATTACACGCAGCAGCAACAATAGAAGCGTATAATAAAATCATTGCTCTTCTCATTCGAACTCTTTTATACTCGATAACACAATAACGATCAAACGCGCGCGATCGGTCTTATACATTGCACGCGTGCGTTATTTTTACTTGAAAATCAAGTTTTGAAACCTTACCGATTTTTACCTATCCTTTTAGCCTATTCGCCGATACATCATACGTGTACTTCGAGAGACCGCGGCTCTTTATCTTTTCTCCCCAGAGATTTACGTCTCATCTTGATTATAAGAAATGAAATTTACCGATCTCCGCGTGATTTATGTCCTCGAGTATTGAACATATTCCGTCGAAATGGACGTTATGCTCTCCCTCTCTCGTTGACGAAAATATTTTTTTATTCTCACTGCAGAATTAAGAAACGGTAAATATATATATATATTACTTTACGAATAAAAATCGCGTCGAGCTCGATATAAATTACGTTTAGCTCCCAAGACTTCGTTAATCGATACACTTCGCGCCTTCATTATTTCAAATTTATCGATTTGTTGTGCATATAACGATGATCGACACACGTTTTGCTTTCTCTCAATTGGTGAAAGCTCACTTGCATACCACGTGCTTTCAAACCCCGACATATTTTCAGATACCCGATTTTAGAAACTGTATTTTTTTTGTTTTCAAACTTATACCGATCTTCGTGCACACTGCAAACGGACTATATTATACATTTATGCTCTGTTGAATTTAACTTTCGTACTATCGAATAAAACTAATTTATCGTGTATATACACATGCTTAACATGAAACGTCGGTAGTACATGATATACACCGATATCAAACTCACACTTTTACGCAAAGCATTGAAACGAAACATTATTCTTTCGATAATATTTCTAAGCTTTACCACTCTCATTTTTTTTTTTTTTTTTTTTTTTTGTCGTAAAAACCCAACTCTTGTATATCTCGATTTCGGAGCCACGCACATCTGTAATCACAAAACCAACCACTCGCACACAATAGACTACATGTACGCACAAGGTATGTCTATATTCCCACGTAATGGATAAAAAAAAACGATGTTTTGATCAAACTCGTTGAAACTTCGTCACTGCCAAGGAGAGGGTGAGGAGAGAAAACACCCGTCGATTTTCGTCGTATCGTACACGAGAGATTATCAAAGTGGAAATTCCCTCGAGAAAATTCTAATCTTCAAACTATCGCGTATCCGTGTACTCGCGATCGGCATGCGGGCCCCATCGTAATCTACATCACATATTTTTTCAGCGATAAACGAAAAAGAAGCCAACACATACGAGTAAATCAACTAAATCGACTCGTGTTTTTTTCAATTCAGAAGTCCCGGAAGATGCGCGCCTCGAGATCGGCAGTCAACCAAGGGGCCGCGGACAGAAATCGGCAATAAAAGCGCGCGCACATAAGGAAGGAAGAGAGGGAAGGAAACGACTCAAGGAACCCATAAGCTCCTCTTTCTTTCTCCCGGTGTGTCCCCCCCCCTCCCCCCTTCTATATATATACACGCACAGCCGTAAATACGCGCGAGTATACATACCGATTTCGAAGCGCGCAAGAGAGAGAGAGCGCTCGATTATAATTGTTGCGGGCCAGTCGCTCGCCGCCACTCTCCTCCGGTGGAGCTGTCGTACGAGCCATGAGATAAAACAGCTTCCTCCTCGTCTTCTCGGGCTGCCGGTCACAGGAGTTGGTACAGCGCGCGCGGACTGGGTCAACGGAGGTCAGGATGGTGCACGTGGTTGAGAAAAAGCACAGCGGGAACGAGAAAAATGGCACGGCCAAGGAACCCCTGCCACCCGACGTCGATGTTCTTCAACCCACTGCGCCGGACGGCGGCTGGGGCTGGGTCGTCGTCTTCGCCTCGTTCATGGTGCACGTTATCAGTGAGTATTTTTTCTTTTTTTTTTTTTTTTTTTTTTCCTCTCGTTTCCTTTCGACTCTCGCGGAAACGTTACTGCATGTACATAAACTCCCTGAAAACTCGAGTTTTCGTAACCAATTTGTGCAGTAATTTGTTAACGCAATGTTTCGAAGGCTTATCCGTTCCACCAATAATACACATTTTTGACGAAAAATATACAATTATCGCGAGTACACCTACGCTCGAGCGATAAGTCTATCGATACCACATCGTTTTTCATTTATCTGTGCACGTACACGTTGGGTAACTATAATATATATGTATTTCGTTCTTTTCGTCGCTCGTCGACTTGTCGAAAATTCATCGGAGGAAAAGTAACGTGCATCCAAATGTGCGGGCGCGAAAAACACTAGTAGCGTTATTCCCAACGCGATGAGAACCGACACTTACAAATCATCTTGGCCGAAATCCGCTCGTTAAACGATATAATTTTGCTGAGAAATAAGCTATTAAGAACAAAAAAAAAAAAAAAAAAAAAAAAAAAGCAAGTATCATCATCAACTGCACGTCGAAATTGTATACGTATATATTGCGAAACAGCCGAAAAATTGGCACACGCTTCTGACCGTGCTGATGTTCGCACGCGTCAGATCGTTATCGGTAGATTGTGTATTTTGTCGCGATAAATCAAGTTCGTATGGATGAGGAATCGATTGATTTCAAAATGGATTTTCCTAATGAAAAAAAAAAAAAAAAAACGGCACTCATACGTTACCTCGTTCGAACGCGGATCGGTATCGAAAAATCTCTTCTCGATCTGTCGAAAAATCATATCGCGATACGGGCACGTAATCCGAGAGAGAAATCGCCAAGGAATTCAAGTGCCGCCTTACCCTCCTCCTTCACCACGGAATGTATATGAATTTAATTTGAAAACTCGTCAGCTGGCATTATTAATCATCGACAACAAGAGCCGTACTTGGGTATAATAAAAAAAAAATTCGTCGTGTCGTTGTTACCTCGGTTCTCTTGAACCATTACACATTTCAAAAGAACAGATAAATTTACCCGCAAATACAATAAATGTAGTTACAGCGCAAATTGAAAAGACGAGCGAGTAAAGTATGTATAGCGTAAGTGTACCAAAGAGGGACGAGTCGGAGTCGCCTGTAGTGTCGCAAAAGCGCGCATCGCACGCGACCCCCCCTCTATTTATAATTTCGACGAGGTATATAGCCGAGAGAGAGAGGACTATAAGTATATACTTGTGCAGAAGGGGGGGGGACAAGATTCCCAAAGACGTTACGACTCGGAAGAGCAAAATCGTTGTTATACTATTATCTTTGTATATAGACCTACGTGTGTATACAACACTTGAGCTGTCCTCCGTTGTACCTATAACAACGAATGGGATCGGTTACTACTATTTTACACAGAAATCGATTCGAAAGCCAATACCTTGGTTTTTAATCAACCTTTCATTGTCATTTGTAATTTGTATGGGGATGTTTCGACAAAATATTTTCATAGCTCAACAGAGAGTAGGAGGAGGGTACGATTTTCGTAATGGCACATAAATAATGGCTGCGTGGAGTGACGAAAAGCCTTTCTTCAGAACTTGTCGGCCAACACAATAATAATGACATAGTGGCACCTACATATATAGTATATATATATATGTGGGCACCTCTATTACAATGTTCCCCTATTGTCACCGCTGCGCGTGTATACAGCTACTTTTAAAATAATGGGTAGTGTTTAAAAAACACTTTAACGGGAGCTGCGAGAGAGCCATTTTTATGTACTCTCTGTCGCGTTTGACTTTTTTTTTTTACAAAGTTACTGAAAACACTTTCGAAATGTCGTAAAAAAAAAGGTTGTCGTGCCATCGATTCGAAGAATAATGATCGAGAAAGTACAGTGAAAGGGTTTGCGATCGACGAAAAGAAGTAGGCTTGGATTGGGCCATTTATGTAACTCACGGTATGCATATAGTACCATAGTAAATGTATCCCGGCGATCTCGAATGGGCGGTTTCTCTGCACTACATATATAGCTATCTAAGGTTCTCATTCCACCCCTATATTGTGGATCGGTTACTTATGTTTAAAAAAAAAAACAAGAAGATAATATTTATTTATGACTTATGTCAATGGTTGTTCGTACGGATTTACTTTTCAAAAAGTTGTAACACGCACAGGGTTTGCATTGAGAAAACGCGTCTTCGCTCCTTACCGATCTCCTCGCGCCGATCGATAATTCAATTGTGTCGCGCATCTCACAACAGCGACGATCGGCTCGTGCAATCGTTCTTTAAATAAAGCCATTGTAGAAAAAAATTCAAGTGTACGCGAAGGTTTTTTGTTCTCCCTACGCATCGTTTAAACGCGCATGACGCGTCGACCGATTGAATTTCACGGAAAGTGCGACCTCGCGAATTGACGTACACCCATGATTGTTCCCTCCGTCTCGAGAAACACAGCGCGCTATGTTCTTATTTTCGATGTCGCAAAAAAAAAAAAAAAAAAAAAAAAAAAAAAGAAATCGGTACAAATGAATTTTCCGCTGTCCTCGATTTATTATTTGTACAACAGCCCCAATTTAAACATAAAAATTTACAGCCGACGGCGTGACGTACTCCTGCGGGCTGTTTCAGTCCGAGTTCGTGAGGTACTTTCATAGCTCGCAACAGGCAGCCGCGTGGATCTCGTCGCTCCTCGTCGGTGTCACCTACTGTTCTGGTTGGTATAAAAACCCACTGGCACGCTTGCACGCGCGCAATAGTGTTTACTTGCATTTTAATTATTGTTTGCGCGCGTCGTCAGGTCCATTTTCGAGTTTTCTCGTCAACAAGTACGGCTGTCAGGCGGTCACCATCCTCGGAACGATCTTAGCGAGCCTGTGTCTGCTCGCCAGCGTCTGGGCCAACAGCATCACTATTCTCTACTTCACAGTCGGCATTGGAACAGGTATACACGCAATCACGTTACACCACCAATTGGTATTAATTTCTTTTTTTTTTTTTTTACATATTTTATCGATACGAGCCTTGTTTTCGCGCTTATCTTCTAGCGTAGCCGTGCCAAGGTTACACTTTCGTGCGTCCGATTCTGATGACGAGCCAAAACAATATTACAGTATAACTAATGTCTCGGGGAAAAAAAAAAAAAAAAAAAAAAAAAAAAACACATCTGAAATAATGATTTTTACAATCGCGCGCGGGTGATACCACTCGCGAGCGTATTTACGGTTATCGGCGATCACCATTTAGCCGATTTTTATCTCGCGACTCGCGATAACAGACTCCATTAGCATACATATGAACGTTATATATTGTTGTAAATATAAATGCCGGCGTAAACAAAATGCGCAAACTTTCCGAAATCGAGGTTAATCAAGCTCATGAAACGTCGGATTGATGATAGAGCGTTAATTTGATCATTAATAATCCTCATTTGTACGAATGAATATATAACTTGGTGACTGTTCCACGTATAGGCTTGGGCTTCGGGCTGATCTACCTGCCGGCCATAGTGAGCGTGACGGTGTACTTTGAAAAGTACCGATCCCTCGCCACGGGGATAGCAGTATGCGGCTCCGGTATGGGCACGGTCCTCTTCGCCGAAGTCATAACCCAATTGATCTCGTACTTCGGGGACTTTAGGTACCCCATGATGGCGCTCTCGGCCATCGTACTGATCTGCATAGTTTTCGGCATCATGTTCGTACCCCTGAAACCAAGCAACGCGCCCGACTCCCTTCCACTCGAGGTATTATTACAACTTATAGCGATTTAATGAATTGTATACATATATATACACGAGTTGCGCGTCGTATGTCCAATCCCAGGATGTCACCAAAAATGGCACTTCGAACCGCTGCAACAACAACAACAACAACAACAACAACAACAACAATGTGGGTGGCAAAAAGTGTTGGACCGATAAGCGCAAGCCGAGCATCGCCAGCAGCACGGATAGCAAAAAGTTTTCCAGCCTGAAGATACCGAACAGCGCCTCGAGCAGCATCCGGCTAGCCCTGAGCCAACCGATCCTCAACGACAAGGACAACGCGGCTGGTCGGCCGGCCAGCGAGGAAGCCTTCGCCAGGTCCTTCAGCCGCGGCAGCGGTATCATGAACAGATCCGACGTTTTCCTGCGCAGCAGCATCCACAACATTCGCAAGCGCTCGTAAGTATATTATATACGCATTAATATAGCTTACCACCACCGCGGTGAACGGTAAACTCGCGTGCCTATAATATACCGATGTAGCGATCGATGGACGGATCTTGTTGATTTATTTTGTTGTTGTTCCAGGGAATCGTTGACCAACGAGAGCGAGGAAAACGCGCAGCGTTTCCGGTTGTCCGTGAGGAGTTTGCCTAACGGGACGAGCCACGGGCCCAACAAGGCGATAGAGAGCGCGGACGCGGACGATACGCCGGACGGCAATATCATCAAGCGGATGCTCAAGTTCTCGCTGCTCAAGGACCCGGTCTTCATCATATTCTCCGTCTCCAATTTTTGCACGAGCATCGGGTTTAACGTACCTTACGTTTATTTGTCGGTTCGTATATTATCATGTATGTGTATATACTCGATTGTCTAGGTATATAGGGTGGGATTTCTTTTTTTT